GGGGGGCCCGGCCCCGGGCACGTGGCCCTTGCAGGGGGCGCCGGCCCCGGGCACACGGTTATGGGGAGGACCCGGCTATTGGGGGGGGCCGCCCTCTGGCGCCCGGTGGACGAACGGCCACGCCCCCTGGCGCCCGGCCACCACCACAGGTTGGGGACCACTGGTATAGAAAGTGTGTCAGTGTTTGATCCTGCAAGCAGTTTACTATCTACTTTTAAATGTCCTTTACAATCGAGTGCTATTATCTCTTATAATTAGAAAAGTATTCAGATATTCTAATTCAGTGTCATTCAGAATTACAAACTTATCAAGTCTTGCTAAAGAGACTTTTTTTTTCCCCAAATGAAAACCTTTTAAACAAGTCACAGTGACAAGGAAAAAAGCTAACTCATTCAGAATGATACATATTTCTAAATACTTTAAGATTTTGTTGATTACTCACTCAATTGAGACAATTACAGCATTGAGAGATTCTGCCATGATCCTGCAGAGATTATTATAGAAGCTTGTTCCTGGAAATAAGAGGACCGTTAGTGAAAGACAGACAGTTTTGTTAATAGGCATATTGTACAGTGCTCTATAGCTACGTCTAGACTGGCATGATTTTCCGCAAATGCTTTTAACAGAAAAGTTTTCCGTTAAAAGCATTTGCGGAAAAGAGCGTCTAGATTGGCACAGACGCTTTTCCGCAAAAACACTTTTTGCAGAAAAGCGTCCGTGCCAATCTAGACGCGCTTTTGTGCAAAAGAGCCCCGATCGCTATTTTCGTGATCGGGGCTTTTTTGCACAAAACAAATCCGAGCTGTCTACACTGGCCCTTTTGCGCAAAAGCTTTGCGCAAAAGGACTTTTGCCCGAATGGGAGCAGCATAGTATTTCCGCACGAAGCACTGATTTCAGACAGTTGGAAGTCAGTGTTCTTGCGGAAATTCAAGCGGCCAGTGTAGACAGCTGGCAAGTTTTTCCGCAAAAGCAAGTGCTTTTGGGGGAAAAACTTGCCAGTCTAGACACAGCCTAGGTGTTTAGATGCATAAGAAAAACAACAAGCACTTATATTCAAGCCTGTACAACAAATCTGACACTATAATAGAAACTCATTACCATCAACACATCTTCCTGCAAATGTAAACGAATGGAACACAGTCAGTGCATAATAGCAGGTACCATCATCTAGTGGAATGAATCTAGTGTCTTAAGTTTGTGCACTTTCTTCCTGGCTTTGCCATCAACTTGTTTTGTGACTTTGGGCAAGTCACTTCACATCTCTGCTTAAGTGTTGCTTACCGCTACCTAACTGCATTGGACTGCTCTTGGGATTAGTGTCTGGAAAATACTGTTTTTGTGCAAGTCATTGTATATGTTGTCATTATATTATGCATGCTGGACTCAAAACTTGAAATTTTGTACTCAAGGTAGTAGTCCTAGTAAAGCCAATGGGACTGCTCACGTGAATCAGGCCAGCAGGTTCAAACCCATCCTATTCATCAGGGTACTCCTTTTCTATAATTCTATGCCTCTTCAATTACTGAATAGGTATCTCATGGTGAAGGAGAAGATAACTATATATTAAGCATCACTTTAAAGTGAATAGTCTCAAGATTTAATATTTAGCGGTAATATTTCTGCCATTAATTTTTATATCTTAAACTGAACTAATGTGTTTAGAGTTAAATTTATCTGAGTGAAGCACAGTAATTCTGAAGCACACATCTGCCCTGGGGGAGTGCTATGCAAGTTACTATAGAACCAGAGCAGCTCACCAAGTTTTAGAAAGCATCACTGACAGTTGACAATGACAGGACTTCCTAAGGGGTTAATGGAGAGAATTCTGTGAGAACTGGAAGACAGAGGAATTTTTAATGGGCACCATTACTAATTATGGGCTAAATATGCTGGCATTTTCAAAACTGCCTAAGTGATTTAGGTACAGCCGTCCAACTGAAAGGCAAAGGCACATCCGACAAGTCAACACATAATCTCGCTTCCCACTAAAACTGTCAAAGTTGGGAAGTAATGCAAAATCTGCACCTTTTGACATACAATATGCTTTACTATTCTCTTAGGGTACGTCTACACAGCACGGCTAAAATCGAATTAAGCTATGCAATTTCAGCTACGTCAACTGGTAACTTTAATCAAAATAGCTTAATTTGACTTTTGGTGCTGTTTACATAGCAGGAAATGGAAGGAAGAACATTCTTCCTTTGACTTCCTTTACTCATGAAATGAGGGTTACCATGAATTGGATTAAGAAGTCCTCCAGCTTGACATTATTTTGAAATAAAAGCTTGTAGTGTAGACACGCACTACATTATTTTGGAATGTTAGTTATTCCAAAATAACACTGTGTATACACGCCCTAGAGTGTCTGTGGCAACACAGAAGATGAAGAGGGCATGACCTTCAATTGTCACCCTAACTATGCAGATCTTTGGGACACCCATAGGTTTGCAGCTATGTACCAGTAACATGTGTACTTGTTTTCTGTTTCAGGGTTACTCCCCCCCCCTTATGGTGAGGGTTGAGACTGTCAAGGCTCATCTACACTGACAAGTTACTGTGGTGAAACCTTCTCACTCAAGAGTGTGACAAATCACTCCTCCCCCTTTCCAGGTGCAGCGAGTTTGAGTGCAGTATCTTGCCAGTGTAAACGGGCTTCCAGTACTGGGAGCTATGCTCATCATAGAGGTGTAAGCTCTCTTCCAGTGCTGGAGCCATGACTACACTGTTGCATTAAAGCACCGCCACAGAAGCACAGAGCCAGAGTTCTAGTGCTCCTTAGGTTCAGATGTGTCTCAGAGAGCAAATTCTCAGGTTCTGTGTGGGAAAAAACAGCTTTTGAGATGAGACCATACATTCTAATTAATAACAGACACACACTTGCACTTGCCAAAGCCCATCCTCCTCCGTGGATATAAACGACACTGCGCTTTAATGTTCTGTCTTCCTTTGGAGAAGGTTCAAACACTCTGACTTCCACTCCATCGAAAAGGGCATCCGTTATCATAATGTGTTCTGAGGACGGGGGCTCTAGCTTGTCAAAAGTACCAATCACATAATTCAGAACTCTCAAGTGATGGCTGAGTCTTAGACAGTGAACCAGATTGCACTAGGGAGAAATAGAAGGGGGGGGGGGGGGGAAAGGAGGAAAAATCACATGTTACTCACAGGCTTATCCTACCACTTTGCATTAAACATCCTTGAGACAGTACTTGTAACTAGACAGGCAAAAAACTTAACACCCATGAGGTAATGATTTCAAAGCCTTTCAGAGTTATACTGAAACAAAACTGTGCCTCACTCTGCAAAAAAGAGACTCATGGCAGTGAGTCTCAGAGGCTGGGCCAGCTGACTTGGGCTCAAGGGTTTTATACCGTGGGGCTACATATAGTAATGCAGTTGTTTGGGCTTGGACTATAGGATGAGTCAGTGAAGGAGATGGGTCTTTGAAGCTGGGCCCCAAACCAGCTATTTTTAGTCACAGTGTGAGCTCAATTCAGCAGACCTGGGCTCTAAGACTTGCTGTCCCGGATCTTCCTCCACCCCCTCCCCACAGTATACACATGCTGCCAGTTGCCTTAATATATATTTTGAAAAAATAAGCATTGTGAGCACTTGGGAGATCAAGAGGGCAATGGTTTAGAATTCAGACCCTCCTACTTGAAAAGTGCAGGTAGATTGAAAAACAAATGGGTAGCTTCACAGCAGTGGTTGTCAACCTTAATTGGAATCATGGGTGGCTGGGTATGCTAAGCAGGGGAAGGCACTGCCTTCTCAAACCACCAGCCTGGTCCTGCCCACACTCTGCCCCCAGAAAACCGACTATAGGTGCCCCCCCAGCACCCAGCCTCCCTATGCTCCAGGGCTGGGACAGCATGTCCTCCTCAGTGCTCTGGGACCAGGGAGGCTGGGGGCTGCATGCCACCTGCCCTCCCAATGTTCTGAAGCTAGGGGCTATCCGCCACCCACCTTCCCTGTGCTCTGAGGCAGGAGAGGCTGGGGGCATGGCCTCTCATGACTGGAATATAAATGTTGTACTTACATTTCAGTGTGTAATATATATAGCAATATAAAAAGTCATATGAAATTTTAGCTTGTACTCACTTTGTTAGTGCTTTCTATGTAACCTATTGTAAAACTAGACAAATGAATTGATAGACCCCTGGGACGATATTTGCATACCCCCAACATTACAAGTACATGTACCCCTGGTTGAAAACTACTGCACCACAGGACTTAGAACTGCTGAACAGTGTGTCAGTTTCTTCTAGCAGACCCATATACAGTAGTCATTTTGTTATATCATTACAATTAATTTCTGCATTTTTCATAGTGTATTGGGAAAATGTAAGTATAAAACCCCACAACCACAGATTTTATTATACTTCCAGTGAAAATACGAAACCTTAAAGATACTAATTTTCTACTGACTTTATTAGTTTGAATTGCATCACTCAGGAAAGTCGGCCTTCCTTTCTACAGGCTGAAAGAGTGCGAGTAGTTCACTGAGCTGGGGTCCGCATCTCAGTTTGCTCTTTTTTCTAAACTGATAACAGTAATACCTGCCTTGGAGGGATGGTGGCTGTGAGGCTTAATTCATGTTTAGAAAGTTGTGAAATCCCTGGGAAAAAGGTGCCATATGTGTATTTTTCTTGTGTGTAAATGATTCACCCTGAAAAACAAATCTTTTCAATTTCAGTAAGTTTCTTCAAGGAATAGTTTCACTTACTGAAAACAAGATTGAGAGCAGGGATTTTGTGACTAAGGGGCATGAATTTATTGCCAGCTGCAGAGCTCTTTGTTGCGATGCAACAAGCAATCTCGCACTGGCCTAACTTTCCCCCATATATGGGCTGAATAGACGTCTATAATGCAGTTGGAAGGGCTCTCCCAAGTGTGGGTAAACTGATGTGTGCTAGCTCTGCACGAAGCAACAAGTTAAAAATAGCAGTGCGGCTAAGGTAGCACAGGCAGCAGCTCTGGAAACCCACCTAATCGACTGGGGCATATTCAAGTGCCTAGCTTGAGCTGCTGTTCATGGCCACACTACTACTTTTAATGAAGTAGCTTGACTAAAGCTAGAGCGTGTCCATTTACTTGGACTGGGAAGCATGCTCTTGGCTGAAACACAGACATACTTAGGGTGTAATTCAGTTATCTGACTCCTTGGACTTTGTTTATGCATCTTGCCCAGACAGGATAAAGGACCTGCTGCTACCAGCTAAGGGAGAGCCCGTTAGGCCAAAAGGGTAGAGATCTGTTTCTCAGTGTACATACAGCTTATATAGTAATTGTGCCTGCAGGGTATGAATGTTTTCCCATGCTTGCTGTGGAAATCCAAGAGGGGATGGGGAAGGGAGATATCAGGCCACACCACCTACTGGGTGTGTGCTATGATGATGAAACTACTACAGGCAGTCCCCGAGTTACGTACAAGATAGGGACTATAGGTTTGTTCTTAAGTTGAATCTGTATGTAAGTCGGAACTGGCGTCCAGATTCAGCCGCTGCTGAAACTGACCGC